AATTTATTTTTATAATGAAGTGTTTTTCATGTATTCTTCTTAATAACTGTCAGAAAAAGGCGACAAAGGACAAAAAATAATAATCCAGTAAGGATACAGAGATTTGAAGTAGATGATAATCCAATCTGACCTAATAGATATGTATGGATATAAAAAATAATGCTTTTTAAGTACTTATACATATTTTTTAAAAGTTTACCATATAATGAGCTGAAAACCAAGTCCCAACAAATTCCAATGTTTTAAAATCATACAATCTGCATGATGAACATAATCCATGAAGGAGGACTATGTGAAGAAGAACAGGGCATCGGGATTGGAGGAAGACTCATTAACAACCTGAGATACGCAGATAACACAACCTTGCTCGCTGAAAGTGAAGAGGACTTGAAGCACTTACTGATGAAAATCAAAGATTACAGTCTTCATTATGGATTACACCTCAACATAAAGAAGACAAAACACCTCACAACTGGACCAGTAAAAGCACAATAAACGGAGAAAAGATTGAAGTTGTCAAAGATTTCATTTTATTTGGATCCACAATCCATAACCATGGAAGCAGTAGTCATGAAATCAGACGTCATATTGCACTGGGCAAATTTGCTGCAAAAGACCTCTTTAAAGTGTTGATGAGCAAAAATGTCACTTTGAAGACTAAGGTGCACCTAACCCAAACCATGTCATTTTCAATCGTCTCACATGCATATGAAACCTGGAAAATGAATAAGAAAGACCAAAGAAGAGTTGATGCCTTTGAATTGTGGTGTTGGCGAAGAACATTGAAAATACATAGACTGTCAGAAGAACGAACAAATCTGTCCTGGAAGAAGTGCAGCTGGAATGTTCCTAGGAAGTGAGAATGGCCAGACTTCATCTCACTTACTTGAGTCATGTTGTCAGAAGGGCTCATTCCCTGAAGAATGATATCATGCTTGGTAAAGTGGAGGGTCAGTGAAAAAAGGGGAGACCCTCAACAAAATGCACTGACACACTAGCTACAATGATGGGTTCAAGCATGGCAAGGATTGTGAGGATGCATATAACCAGTCAGTGTTTTGTTGTACACAGGGTCACTATGAGCCAGCACCGACTCAATGGCAGCTAACAACAACAGCAAGAAAATCATACAGGCTATCTCTATAGTATTCTATCTATTAACACAACTGAATCTGTAATTTTAAATCTTCCCACACATGGATCTATGTAGGGAGATCCTGTATACAGTGGGAGAACAATGTGGAACAAAACTCAAAATGATTAAAAAAAAAAAGGGGACCAGGTTTGCTGGTCTGACGGAGCCTGATCAAACACTGAGACTATGGCCCCTAGCTCCCCTTCAGGTCTGGAACCGAACCGATTCCTGTGGCTTCTAGCCAAACAAAAGACAGGCATATGAGCTGAACATTTACATTAGGTAGATGTACTCCTTGGAGAGATCAATCATGGGAGAATAGAAGGGCTGTGTATGCACAGGGAGACAGCTCGGGGGCCAGGAATGCATGGGTGGGAAGGACTCAGAGAAGAGGTAACTATGGGGAGGAAGTGGTAGGGGAGCTGTTACATTGTTGGAAGTTGCAGTCAATGTCATGAGACAAAGTGACTTGCTGTATCGAAAGTGAATTTGCTCTGTAAACTTTCACCCAAATCACAATAAAAATTAAAGAAAATTAAAAAATCTTCCCTGAAGAAAACCTCTAGATTCAAATGGTTTTACTGTTAATTTAAGGAAGACTCAACATCCAATCTTGCACAAACTCTTCTAGAGACCAAAACAAGAGGGAACCTTTGTTTTCGGAGGCCAATATATCAAAATTTGAAACTCAGGACAAGAAAGGTAAATAGCATGCCATTTTCTGTCATGAACAGAGATCCAAAACTCCTAAACAAATCTTTATGAACTGACTAAAATGTAATTGCTAGGTATGAACTTCCTCAGTATAAAATATGATGACTGTATTATACATCTGCCTTTAAAGATAAAAGTACCAAATTAGTTTACATTAAACTGTACTCAGTGTAGAACTATAATAAACTTAACATAAACTTTTATAAAATCACCTTAATACAAATAAAAGTTTAGTATAAGGAACAGTATTTATTCACCACTATTATTACTGGCATTTACTACCTGTTGCTGTCTTATCACGAAATTCTTCAAGTTTTGTCAAAGTTGCTGAAGTCAGCTGTGTTAGGTGTACATCTTTTGGAGGTCTGAAGAATTCCACTATACTATTCACTGTTCTCTGTTAAAATAAGCATGATTAACATGAGATACAAATTCATAACAAACTGAAATTTTAAAACTTAGTAAGTAAAAAAATGCTTACTGCGTCATATATCATTTCTAAGGGTTCAGCTTCTATGATGCACCTTTGAGCAACAGTTTCATCTAATGGATTTATCTCAAATATAATTTTGAAAAGTGAGGTAGCATCATCCAATGAAGACAAGAGGCGAGGTTTTGTTAAATTGTCTGGTAACCCAGTAACATGAAATGAGTCTATTTTGGTTTCAAATCTGCATGAAAAGGACAGCAAAATTGTCAAGCAATAAAATTTTAAAGTATTTTCAAACTGACAATGATAAAATAAAAATGAACACAAGCAATTTCACTTTGCATTTCCTGATACTCCATTCCCTTCACATCAAGAAAATTAATAACTATTCCATCTGAAGTGACAGAGACTAATTCACAATGAACCCTATTTGCAAGATGATCTTGAGGTGGAAAAAAGAAAGATACGAGTTGGTGTTGATTGTGTTTACTGATAAAATCTAAAATAAAAACCATAAGTTCATATAAGACCTAATAAGTGTAAAACTGCAAACTCTTAAAAAAAAGATATGAAAAGTCAGTGTTGATTGTATTTACTAAAGCAAGAACAACAGTAAATTCATACAAGGCCTAATAATTGTAAAACTGAAAAGTCTCTGACATACTCACTGCCACCGAGTTAATCCGACTCATAGCATACTGACTCACTCATACTGACTCACACCCCCTTTGGGTTTCCAAGGTGGTAAATCTTTATGGAAACAGATTGCCCAATCTTCCTTCTGCGGAGTTGCTGGTGGGTTTGAACTGCCAACCTTCTGGCACTACGCTATCAGAACTCCTTACCTCCTTGTATAAGAATGGAAATAAAAGAAAACCAAGCGCACCACGGCAGGATGTCTAGTGTGGTTGTTTGAGCAGCTCAGGGATCCTCTCTTCAGCAAAATAATCAGTAAACAAATGGTTAAAAATATAAGTCTCTAGAACTTGACCTAAGGGTATACAGCAAATAGATGAAAGTTAATTCAATAAAATTTACAAAATATTGATAGAACAAAGAGAGTTTGTGGCATCTGAGCTACAGTCTTCTTCCATCCCTACCCCGAGCATCATGTTACAGAAGGTCTACACAGGGTGCATGCAGCCAAGAAGAGAGGGGCTTCCTCTTCCCTCAGCAACAAGTAGAGGGCTATATTTTCACCCAAAGAGGGGCAGGCCTCTGGTGTTTCTCATTTCTGCCACCACAGCTACATGTTACAGAAGCTTTAGTCCAGGCACATGTAGCCAAGTAAACTGGGGTTCCCTTTCTCTACCCACCTCTTGCTCAAGTGAGGCCTTTTGTTTAGGTGCCAAAAACCAAGAATTCTGGAGCCTCTATTTTGCCTTCCCCAGTTTGTCTGTAAGGCAGAAATTCCATGCCCAAAGACACAAGTATCCTCCAGTGTCTGCCTGTGTAGTAAGTCTGACAATCCAAGGTAAGTGAGCTACTATACCATCCATAGATTTGAAAGGACTGACAGCTCTGCCTGATTAAATGGGTATTATTTCAAAACACAGCATGAAGAAGCTCATGTGCAAGATTGTCCAAAACAATGGAGATCTTGGTGGCTTGCAACTGGTGGAGTCTAATGGCTCGGTAAGGAGCCCAAGTGACACAGTGGTTAAGAACTTGGCTGTTAACTGAAAGGTCAGCAGTTCAAACTCACCAGATGCTCCACGGTAGAAAGATGTGGTAGTCTGCCTCTGTAAAGACGTACAGCCTTGGAAATCCTATGAGGCAGTTCTGTTCTGTCCTATAAGGTCATTATGAGTCAGAATCAACTCAATGGCAGCAAGTTAACATGTTAGTGGCTCCATTAAGCTAGTTGCAACAAGTGAAATGGTAGACCAAGCAGATACTTAACAGAGAGGATTGAAGAAAGAGACATCTAAGTAGGGCCCCCCAGGGATTCTGTTCATCTTATAGGTAGGAAAGGCTATGTATATGCCTTAAGCTCCACACATTAAAGAGAAATTAGAGTTGCACTAGGTGTTGACTTGAAAATAGTTCCCAAGCCACAAAAAAATCCATAAACAAAAGGTAGAACCCATACAAGCTCAAGCACGGTGCTTAAGTACAACCTTTTAGCAAACACTGAACAATGAATTACTCTATTCCAGAGATGACACATACGAAGAAGGATGAAAATAAAGTCACACTCATCCCAGGTGATCCAGAGCTGTGCCATCTCAGGAGCAAATGAAAAGGAAACTACCTAGCTCCTAGTCCATGGTGAACACTAGACAAAATTATATTCTCCCTGAACTGGAAAAGCAGTCTCCAAGCTACATACATATCCAACAGTAGTTATGAAAATCAGGGGCTCAAAGACAAGCTTTCACCGATCAGTGTAATATTCTGACACAGGGACTACCTCCAAGGTAGGCTAAAAGAAAGGCAGGCTAAAAGAAAAATACAGGTAGTTCCTAACTCATGATATACACAAGCTATGACGAGCCTCACTTACGACCATGTGTTTTTTGTTATTTCTTGTACATCTTATCATTATTAACGACGTGTTGCTGTGAGTCTTGAGGCTGTGCCACTGGTGTTTCAAACCCAATAGGGTGCACCTGTTGCACAGGTATCAGCCCGGCTTGCAGACTGAGACAGACTAGGAAGAATGAGGAGGCCATCTACTTTTCAAAGAACTGGCCAGGGAAAACCTTATGAATAGCAGAGAAACACTGTCTGATACATTACTGCACAACTTTCTGGCACGGGATCGGGCGGCGTTTCATTCTGCTGTACATGGGGTCACCCACTATGAGTCGGAAGCGACTCGACGGCACATAACAACATCATTATTAACATGTACAATGTTGCAGCGCATGATGTGCTGATGCTATTATTCTTATGCCAACTCCCAAGCACAAAGATATTATTTATAAAGATTCTGATAATAAAAGGCAATAATGATGAAATTTTTTAACAAATAAGGTATTTGACTTATATCAGAACTTACGGCGGAGTCATTGGAATGGAATCCCATCGTAAGTCGGGGGGCTAACTGTACAAGGAAAAACTATGAACAGGGACTATTAGATGATACTACAAGGGAAATAGGTTTCTAAGAATTAGTCCAGCAAAGTTACTGAAATAAACAAATGACCAAAGCAAACAATAAGCACCAGAGTGGGTAGATGGGAATAAGTATACAGAACTGCTATGGTATGTTACCTAAAATGCCCTATTTTAAACACAAAATTAAAGGATATGCAAAGAAAGGGGAAAGTGAACCATACACAAGGGAAAAAGGAGGCAACAGGACTGCTTTGAAAAGGAAGACACGGAGAAGTACACAAGAGGTACAGACAATAAAGGTAAATACTATTACATATACAATACTGCATTATCAGTAATAACAAACACTAATTTATGGTACAAAGGTACACAGAGGAGAAGGCTGAGTATAGGTAGATGAATGGGAATATATCCACAATCAGACATAGGATGGGCAGATGATATTCCTACATGTGTATTTGTAGGTGCAATAAAAATGTCCAAATGCAATACAGAATTAACAAGTGGCAAACTTAGGATAATTCCATAGCCACAACAAAGCACCTTAAGGGAGTGAGTTGCTGCACTTGCTGGCTCAGGACCATGGTCGCAGGGGACATCAAGCTCAATTGGCACAACACAGTACATAAAAACATTGTTCTACATCCTACTTTGGTGAATAGTCTTAAAAGCTTGCAAGCAATCATCTAAGATGCAACTATTGGTCTCTCCTCATCTGGAGCAAACAAGAGTGTATAAAATGAAAGACACATGGAAACAATTAGTCCAAAGGAGTAACAGACCACAAGAACCTCAGCCTATATGACCCTGAGACCAGAAGAACTAGAGAGTGCCTGGTTACCACTGCCAAGCCCTTAGCAAGGGATCAAAATTGAAGATTCTGGATAGAGTGGGAGAAAAATATGGAACAAAATTTAAAATATATTAAAAAAAAGACCAGGATTACTGGTCAGATGGGGTAAAACCCCCGAGAGCTTGGCCCCTGATCACCTTTTGGTCCTGGAATTGCACTCACACTCATGCCTAACATTCAGCCAAACAATAAACAGGCCCAAAAAGCTGAACAACTACACCAAGAAAATTCACTCCTTAGAACAATCAACCACAAGAGATCAGAAGGGCAGCATATGCACAGGGAGAAAACTAGGGAGACAGAATGAATGGATGGAAGGACACAGGGGAAGGGTGACCAAAGAAAGGAAGTAAGAATAGAGCTGTTACACTGTGGGAATTGTAACAGGATCACAAAATAAAATGTACATAAAAATTTAAAAAAGAGAGAGCGAGACTGCCATTGAGGGGACTGAGAAGACAAAGACTTCAGAGCAATCATTAAACAGAAATTCTAGAATTGAGAAAAACAAAATGAAAAGTAAAATTCACCAACAAATCTGAAGATAAATCAAATAGAGTTCATATAATCTGAAGAATATAAAGAAAAATAAACAGTGACTCAAAAGTGTGGAACGCTACTAGGCATAACAATATACACATACTCAGAGTAAAAGAGAAGAAAAAAATACCTGAAGAAATAATGGCTGTAAACATCTGATTATTTGATGAAAAAGTCTAACCTACACATCCCAGAAGCTCAACAAGCTCTAAGTAGGAAAAACATAAAGAGATCCACACTCAGACACATCATAGTCAAAATAGTGAGAGACAAAGACAAATCTTCAGAGCACAGAAACATAAAAACGATGCATAAAGTACAAGGAAACCACAGTAAGATTTAAAGCAGATATTTCTATCAGAAGCAATGGAAGGTGAAAGGACAGTATATACAAAAGACATATAAAAACGCTGAAAGAAAAAAACATCAACAAACAATGCTATATCCAGCAACACTATCTTTCAAAAACAAGTGAAATAAAGGCATTTTAGACATACAAACACTCATTGCAAGCAGACTTGCTTTATACAGAATACTAAAAAAAATTTTTCACAATGAAATGAACTGACACCAGTTATTCAAATCCATAAGAAAAAAAAAAAACTCTAGTAAAGGTAACTATGTATATAACAATGTAAGACAACATAATTACATATTTCTTTTCCTTCTGTCCTTAAATAATTTTTAGAACTGCATAAAACAGAATCTAGAAAATTTAATTTTAGAGACCATAATATATAAAACCCAACAGCAAACCCCCTGGCATCAAGCTGATCGCAACTTAT